AGTTTTATAGTTTTTGTTGTTATATTTAGGTTTGATACAATTTGAGTTCATTTTTATATAAGGTGTGAGGTAGTAGTTCACCTTCATTCATTTGCACATGGATATCCAGTTGTCCTAGCACCATTTGTTGAAAAGACTATTATTCTTTTCCCACTGAATTGTCTTGGCACCCTTGTCTAATATCAGTTGAACTTAAGTGTATAGGTTTGTACCTGGACTCTCAATGCTATTCCATTGTTCTATGTGTCTATCTTTATATCAGTACCACAGGCTTGATTTCGGTAGCTTTTTGATAAGTTTTGAAATCGAAAGAGAAAATTGGGACTCCTTCAACTTTGTTCTTATTTCTCAAGATTGTATTGGTTATTCTGGGTCCCTTGCACTTCCTTATGAATTTTAGGATCAGCTCATCAATTGAATTCTTCTTTTCTCCCATCCAAGTCCTGACCCTGGTCCCGACCCTGCTTAGCTTCCGAGATCAGTCATACGAGATCAGGAGCATTCAGGGTGGTATGGCCATAGAGGAGTTCTTCTTTTCTCTTTGTTTTGATATCATTTATGTCTGAGGCTTTCCTCAAATAGTTGTTTACATGTAAGTCAAGTACCAACAGGCTGATTTGTGATTGGATGAAGGGAGGTGAGTGGAGTTGGGGGACAGTGGCTTGTCACGGTTCATGATGTAGACTTTGAAGTATCTCCCTAGATCAGTATGGAGCCTTATCACTATCCTCAACTGTGTCTAAAGTCCTCAAGTCTGGGTTAGGCTATTTGGAAGCTAAAATTTAACACTCTTGTCTGGGATTCGGGAGGGGTAACTGCGTAGGTGAATTGGGCAGGCAGGGGAGCCGGAGACCTGTTTCCTATATAAGCTTTTACCTGTCCTCCTATTTTAGTTTCACTTAGTCTCTCAGAATTACTTTCAGAAGTACTTGGTACCACCAATCATTGACCTGTTCTGTGGTTTCTTGATGCCATTTTGCTTCTTGTTGGCTTCTCCCGTTGCAGGTAGTTAGGTTTCAGTGTCAACCGATAGGCCATTTCCAAAATGTTGCTGCTATCTCTGTTAGTTCCTTTTCCATTCTGTTTTTAGTGGGTTTATGTTTTTGTGTTGTCTTTGTCATTTTGCTGGGGTTTGAGAAGGGAGCAGAGATTATCAATAGCACCTGGAAGACAGGGAAAACTATCAGGGAAGGTGGTGCAATACTTAGTCTCATTGAAACCACTCCAGACGTAGGTCCCCTTTACTGTATTCTGTCTCTATAATTATTGGTAATATTGCATATTATCCCATTTAAATTTTTCACATACTTTTAGGTTAGCCTTAAACATTCTGATGGAGCTGGAGTCCTATTTCAGTGCAGTGAAATTTGTTAAGGCCTCAATGTACTGAGTAACACTAAACTAGTGATTATCACCGCAACTTTATATTAGAATCAAATGGGGAACTTTTAAATAGCATATCTATCCCCACATCACTTGAGACCAATCAACTGGGAATCTCTGAGGTTGGGATTTGGTTGTCAGTAGGTTTTTTTTAATTCCACTTTTTAAAAAAAAGTTTTATTCATTTATTTTTAGAGAGAGTGGGAGGGAGAAAGCAAGAGAGGGAGAGAAACATCAGTGTGTAGTTGCCTCTACATTCCCCCAAATGGGGACTTGGCCGGCAAGCCAGGCATATGCCCTACACTGGGAATTGAACCATTGACCCTTTGGTTCCAGGGCCAGCACTCAATCCACTGAGCCACACCAGCCAGGGCTTTAAATTGCACTTTAGATAATGCAAATGTGAAGAAAGAGTTGAGAATCACTGCTCCAAGGCATTTCATATTTCATTAGAAATAATTTTACCCAACAAGGTAAATTCAATTACATGTCTTATGGCTGTCATTCTCCTCTTCCTTCATAGCCCTCCAGCCATGCTGGCCCTGTTTTGTTTCTTTTAGTCCCAAGACATGTTACCATCTCAGAAGCTTTGCTCTTGCCCTTTATCTGCCTGAAATGTTTTGCCACAAATATCCTTCACTTCTTCATATCTTTGCCCTAAATTCACCTTCTTAATGAGCCTCCTTGTCCACAGTTTAAAAAATTTCTACATCTGGGGGACTGCCAGTCAAAATGTTGACATAGGCAGATATGTCTCACCTCTTTGCACAACCATATCAAAATTACAACTAAAATATAGAACAGCCAACACTCAGAACCGTCAGAAATCAAGTTGAATGGAAGTCTGACAACTAGAAAATTAAAGAAACCACATCTATCAAGACTGGTAGGAGGGGTGCAGATGCAGAACAGGCTAGTCCCTTACCCATGTGAACTAAAAGGTTGCCGGTTCTATTCCTTGTTAGGGCACGTGCCTGGGTTGTGGGCCAGATCCCCAGTTGGGGGCATATAAGATGCAAATGATCAATGTATCTCTTACACATTGATGTTTCTCTCCCTCTTTCTTCTCTCTGCATTCCTTCTCCTCTCTTCTTTCCTTCCTCTCCCTTTCTCCCTTCTTTCCCCTCTCTTTCTCCCTTTTTTCCCCTTTCTCTAAAAATATATAAATAAAATCTTAAAAAAAAAAGAGAAATCCAAAAAAAGTGAGAATAGTATAAACAGCCTCTGAGACAATTTTAGTGAGTTCAACATTCGCATCACAGAGGTACCAGAAGGAGAAGAGCAAGAAATTGGAAGTCTATTTGAAAAAGATCATGAAAGAAAACTTCCCTAATTTGGTGAAAGAAATAGATTTGTGAGTCCAGGAAGCACAGAGACTCCCAAACAAGATAGATGCAAAGAGGCCCACTCCAAGACACATCATAATTAAAATGTCAAAGATTGAAGATAAAGAATCTTAAGAGCAGCAAGAGAAAAGCAGTTAGTTACTGATAGGAGGTTATCATAGGACTGTCAGCTGATATCTCAAGAGAATCTGTAGGCTAGAAAGGATTGGCAAGACATATTCAAAGTCATGAAAAGCTGGGACCTATAGCCAAGATTGCTCTACCCAGTAGAGCTATCATTTAGAATCAATCAAAGGGCAGATAAAGAGCTTCCCAGACAAGAGAAAACTAAAGGAGTTCATCATCACCAAATCATTGTTATATGAAATGTTAAAGGGACTCATTTAAGAAAAAGAAGGTCAAAACTATGAATGATAAAATGGCAAAAATATGTATCAGCAATTGAGTCTAAAAACAAATTAAGCAAACAAGAAAAAGAGAGATAGAATCATGGATACGGAGAGTATTTTGATGTTTGCCAGATGGGAGGGGATTGGGGGAATGGGTGAAGTGAGGGGACAACAAAGTAGAAGTAGGTACAGAATAGCCTTGGGGACGTAAAGTACAGTATTGGAAATAGAGTCACCAGAGAACTTATACACATGACCCAGGGACGTGAACAATGATGGAGGGGTTGCCTGAGTCAGTTGGGGTGGAGGAGGGTAAAGGGAGAAAAATTAGGACAACTGTAGTAGTGTAATCAACAAAATATAATTAAAAAAATTAACTTTCCACTCCCTCACAGCAAATCCCTCCTTTGTTTTTCTACTACATGTTATCTGTATTGTTAGTTCTCTTCTTTGTTTTCTGTCTGGCAGCCCTTCTCAGCACATGCTCTTTCCCTACGTATCAATCTTTTAGTGGGTAAAGAAGCCAGTGGGTGGAGCTTTATTCATGCCTTCTCCCATGTTCTTATTATCTGTGTCTAGATACAAGTTTCTGACCCATATCATCTTCCACCTCCCTGAAGAATTTCTTTTTAACATTTCTTGCAGAACAGGTTTTGTTTGAGAAAGTCCTTTTGTCTTCCTTCACTTTTAAAGGATAACTTCATTGGATACAAAAATTCCAGGTTGGCGGTTTTTTCCCTTTTCTTTTTCTTTCAATGCTACAAATATTTCACTGCACTCTCTTCCTGTATAAGTACCGTGCACTCACCAATTGCGCCACTGGAGCTGTGCACTCTCTTCCTTGTATGGGTCTGACAAGGGAGCTCCTGTGATTTGTATTCTGATGCCTCTGTAGGTAAAGTGTCTTTCCCCCCTCTGCCTTCTTACTCTTTTTTTTTTTTAAAGATTTTTATTTATTTTTAGAGAGAGTTGAAGGGAAGGAGAAAGAGAGGGAGAAAAACCCCAATATGGGGTTGCCTCTCACACCCCCTCAACTGGGAAATGCCACCCAGGCGTGTGCCCTGGCCGGGAAGTGAAATTGCAACCCTTTGGTTCGCAGGCCAGTGCTCAGTCCCCTGAGCCACACCTGCCAGGGCCTTCTGCTTTCTTTCAAGAAAGAAAAAGCTCTTTGTTATGTCTAGGTGTAGTTTTTTTGTTTTTTCAGAAATTATTATTATTTTTTTGGTATTCTGTTTGATGCTAAGTCTCCTGGTTATGTGGTTTGGTATATGTCATCCATTTTGCAAAATTTTTGGCTATTGATACTTCAGATATTTCTTCTGGTCTGTTTTCTCCTTGGTATTTCACTTATGTTAATATGGTACCTTCAGAAATCGTCGTAAAGTTCCTGAATGTTCTCTTCTTATTTTTTTTGAAGTCTCCTTTGTCTCTGTACATTTCAGTTTGAGAAGTTTCTGTTGACATATCTTCAAGCTCATTCATTTTTTTTCTCACCCATAACCATGTCTAGTATACTGATGAGCCCATCAGGGCATTCTTTATTATATTATAGTGTTTTGGATTTCTAGCATTTTTTTTGGATTCTTTCTTAGAGTTTCCATGTCACTACTTACATTAGCCATCTGTTCTTGGGTGTTGTCTACTTTTTTTATTGATGCCTTTAACATATTGATCAGTTATTTTAAATTCCTTGTCTGCTAATTCCAAAATCTTTGTTATACTTGAGTCCGGTTTTGATGTTTGCTTTGTCTTGCTGCACTGTTTTTTCTTGCCTTTTAGCATAACTTATAATTTTAATTAAAAGCCAGATGGGATGTATTAGGTAGTAGGAAGGGAGGCGAATAGGCCTTTGGTTTGGGTTCTGTGTTAATCTGGTGAGGATGTGCTTGCTTGGGCAGTACACACACTGAAATTGGAACAATACAGAGAAGATTGGCACGGCTCCCGCACAAGGATGACGCGCAGATTTGTGAAGCGTTCCATATTTAAAAAAACAAAATGAAATAAAAATCTGGGTGGTGTTTAATAATTGCTGTAACTGTAGATACTGGAGGCCTCAGATTCCTCTAGTGTTTTTGTCTCCCCTGTTATCTTTAGAGAGAGGGCAAGGCAGGGAGAAAGAGAGGGAGAGAAATACCTGTGTGTGAGTGTTGGTTGCCTCTCGCATGCCCTCAGCTGGGGACCTGGCCTGCTACTCAGGCATGTGCCCTGACTGGGAATTGAACCTGCGATCCTTTAGTTTGCAGGCAGGTACTCTAGCCACTGAGCCACACCAGCCAGGGCTCTTTGGTGATTTTTTAAAACATTGGTCTTCCTTCCCATCTCTCCACTCCCCTGTCTGTTCCAGGCTTATGCTAACTCAGTTTCTTTGGAGTGTTTTGGATGCAAACACTGCCCATTGCTTATTACCAAGGGGGAAGTTACTGAGTTCACGTACAGTTGTGCTGAAATAAATGCAGAGTAAATTCTGGGTCTCAGGTTTCATGAGCTTCCTGTAGTAGGTGGTAGGGGTTTGGACCTTATGCCCATTAGAAACCATATCCAGTATGAACTCAAGGCAGAAACTAATAGGTTGAAAGTGTTTTGACCAGGATAGGGCCTGACTTCCCTTCTATGCAATGCTTATTTTTCTTTATATGTGGTTTGGAAAGGTTTTACAATGGGCGATATGTACCTTGTAATGTCAGAAAGGTATCTTGCTAATTGGATCTGGAAAGATAGACAAAACCCATAGAATAACATAGATTTTGTTTAATGAACCACGGACTCTATGAACGACACCAGAGATAGAAAACAAGGTGGTGTTATCGGCTGTTTCTCCTGCTTTCCTAGTTGGTTTTGTTCTGAGCCTCCTTTAGAATTTATCTGATTGATTTTGTTTTGGGGCCATGAAGTATAGATCAAGAGGTTTGGTTGTTTTCCCATTTAGTGGGCCATGTAGGGCCTTCGAGTTTTATCCTCCTGGATTCTCTTGAGTTCAGACCAAAGGTTAAAAGCAGCTAAAGCTCAGGGAGAACAAGCCAGTTTAAAAACTACCCCAGTAAAGTTAGGGAAGAAAGAATCCCAGTAGATGTGAAGACTTTAAAAATTCTTTTATTTTTAAAGTCTATAAATAATAGATTTCCAGCTTAGTGCTTTAACCTCTGTTACTCAGAGCCCCTAGGCTTAATTTATACTCTTTGGTTTTTTCCTTCATTACTCAAGATAAGATCTCTCCCCTTAAAATTATTGTTAAATTATGTAAAAGATCAAACATTTGAAATAGTTCAGAGAATAAGATAAGCAATCATGACAACTACCATCTGGATTTAATGAATATTAATATTTTGCCATATTTGCTTCAGAACTTTTTTCTTTTTAAAAAAATTTTTTTTAAAAGATTTTATTTATCTTTAGAGGGGAAGGGAAGGAGAGAAGGAGAGAAACATCAATGTATGGTTGCCTCTCATGAGTCCCCTGCTGGGAACTGGCCTGCAATCCAGGCATGTGCCCTGACTGGGAATTGAACCGCGATCATGTGGTTCGCAGGCCCGCACTCAATCCACTGAGCTATGCCAGTCAGGGCTAATTTTATTTTTTTTATTGATTATGCCATTACAGTTGTTCTATTCCCCCCTTCATTCCCCTCCACCCTACCCCCCTTCCCCACCATTACCCCCCTTTAGTTTATGACCATGTGTCTCAAGTTCTTTTTTTGGGGGGGGGGATTAGATGATCTTTTTTTAAATTTTTTTATTGATTATGCTGTTACAGTTGTTCTATTCCCCCCTTCATTCCCCTCCACCCTACCCCCCCGTCCCCACCATTACCCCCCCTTTAGTTTATGACCAAGTGTCTCAAGTCCTTTAGATTCTATATTTCCCATGCTATTCTTGCCCCCCCATCTATTTTCTATCTACTGTCTATGCTACTTATTTTCTGTACCTTCTCCCCTCTTCTCCTCCTCCCACTCCCCTGCTGCTAACCCTCCTTGAAATCTTCATTTCTATGTTTCCACTCCTGATCTAGCTGTCCTTTTAGTTTGCTTTTGTTTTAGGTATGGTTGTTAATAACTGTGAGTTTGCTGTCCTTTCACTGTTCATGTTTTTTTAACTTCTTTTTATTAGGTAAGTCCCTTTAACATTTCATATAATAAGGGCTTGGTGATGATGAACTCCTTGAATTTGATCTTATCTGAGAAGCACTTTATCTGCCCTTCCATTCTAAATGAAAGTTTTGCTGGATAGAGCAATCTTGGTTGTAGGTCTTTGGGTTTCATGACTTGGAATACCTCTTTCCAGCCCCTTCTTGCCTGTAAGGTCTCTTTTGAGAAATCTGCTGACAGTCTGATGGGAACGCCTTTGTAGGTGACTGTCCCCTTAGCTCTTGCTGCTTCTAGGATTCTCTCCTTCATTTTAATCTTGGCTAATGTAATGATGATGTGCCTTGGTGTGTTCCTTCTTGGGTCCAACTTTTTGGGACTCTCTGAGCTTCCTGGATTTTCTGGAAGTCTATTTCCTTTGCCAGATTGGGGAAATTCTCCTTTATTATTTGTTCAAATAAGTGTTCCACTGGTGGCTGTGCCTTTCCCCCTTCTGGTACCCCTATAATTCGGATGTTGGAGCGTTTAAAGATGTCCTGGAGGTTCCTAAGACTCTCCTCATTTTTTTGAATTTTTGCTTCTTCACTCTTTCTGTTTGGCCATTATTTGCTTTCTTCTGGTCCACTCCATTGATTTGAGTCCCAGTTTCCTTTTCATTGCTATTGGTTTCCTGTGCCATTCCATTCATTTCAATTAGTTTCGCCTTCATATGTTTCTCTAATTTGTGGCTATATCAACCAGATCTGTGAGCATCCTGATCACCAGTGTTTTAAGCTGTGCGTCTCAGAGTTTTGCTATTTCTTCATTGCTTAGATTTATAGGCTCTGGGGCTTTGAGATCTTCTTGAGCCATTTTTGGTCTGTTTGTGCCCGTTAAGTATGAGGAGCAGAGCCTCCCAGGGAGCAGGACTCCCAGGTCGCTAGGTTGTGACGCTGTATATGGGGGCGTGGTCAGAGCGGGGAAATGGCGACCCCCTCTGCTGTTTTGCGCTGCTGGGTGAGGAGCAGAGCCTTAGGTGGTTCACCAGGGCAGGGCTACTCAGGTCGCTGGATTATGATGCTGTATGTGGGGGCAGGGTCAGAGCGGGGCAATGGCGGTGCCCTCTGCTGCCACTCGCGGATGGGGCCACTGGGTCCCATCTAACCGCCCACTCCCTCCCTGGTCTATCTGTGCAAGAATGTGTGACGACAGTCAACCTGCCGCCCTGCGCCCTTGCTGGTTCCCTGAGGTCACTTGGTGGGTCACTCACTAGGTCCACCTGTTGCAACTCTGCGCTTGGGTTCTGTGGGCCTGAGTCCATCTGACCAAGTTTTCCTGTGCAACCCGCTCCGCCAGCTGCTGGTTTCACCCCTCTTACCGGTCAGGCTGAAGAATTTGTTGTTATCAGACTTCTGAAAAGTTCAATTTTCTGTGTTCTGGCTGTGTTTTCTGTTGCTAATATTTAGTTGACTCTAAACTTGGTTGTGTGAGAAAGCAAGGCGTGTATCCACCTATGCCTCCATCTTGGCGGAAGTCAGAACTTTTTTCTTTAAAAGATAAAATATTGCAGATAAAGTTGAAGTTCCTTTGCTCTCTCTCCTCACTCCATTTTCCCTGCCCCATCTTCTGCTACCCTACACCCTAGAGGTACCTTCTGTTCTGAATGGTGTGGTTCCTTCCCATCCATGCTTATGTACTTTTATTCCATTTATGTGTGTCCTCAACAATATATACAATTGTTTTGTGTAAGTTCAAGTGTATTTCAATGGCCTCACACTATACGTAGGCTGCCACTGCTTTTTTTTTTTTAGCATATTAGTTTGGGATATGTGCGTATAGATTAAATTAATATATTTCAAGTATTATATAACATTTCATTTTATAAGTATATCACAATTTGTCCATTCCTTCATTGATGGACATTTGGGTTGTTTACAAAATTTTGCTATTATATGCACTGCTGTGATGAACATTGTTGGATATGGCTTCTTCTGCATGAGTTGCAATATTTCCCCTGGAAAATACCTAGATGTGGAATCCTAGGAGATACAGTATATACATCTTTAACTCCGCTGGTAGTTGTCAGGCACCATCTAATTGGCATATGAGGCTTCTCATCACCACTTACTGTTTTTTTTGTAAAAAATGGCTTCTCCATATTCTGTACTGTTCTTAACCTACCTCTGTCTATTTTGTGCTTACCTATCATGCTTCTTATTCCCTGTACCTTTTCTCCCATTCTACCCCCTGGTCCCTGCTAATTACCCTCTATTCCTGTGATTCTGTACCTGTTCTAGTTGTTTGCTTAATTTTAGTTTTTGTTGTTTTTTTAGGTTTAGTTGTTGATAGTTGTGAGTTTGTTGTCATTTTACTGCTCATATTTTTGATCATCTTCTTTTTCTTAGATAAGTCCCTTTCACATTTTTTATAATAAGGGCGTGGTAATTATGAATTCCTTTAACTTGACCTTATTGGGGAAGCACTTTATGTGTCCTTCCATTTTAAATGAAAGCTTTGCTGGACAGAGCATTCTTGGATGTAGGTCCTTGCCTTTCATGACTTTGAATACTTTCCAGCTTGTTCTTGCCTATAAGGTTTCTTTTGAGAAATCATCTGATAGCCTTATGAGAACTGCTTTGTAGGTAACTGTTTCCTTTTCTCTTGCTTCTTTTAAGATTCTCTCCTTATCTTTAACCTTGGGTAATGTAATTACGGGGTGTCTTGGTGTGTTCTTCCTTGGGTCCAATTTCTTTGGGAATCTCTGAGCTTCCTGGACTTGCATATCTAGTTCCTTCCCAGGTTGGGGAAGTTTTTCTTCATTATTTTTTGAAATAAGTTTTAAATGTATTGCTTTTTCTTTTCTCCTTCTGGCACCCCTTTGATTCAGAGGTTAGAATGTTTAAAGTTGTCCCAGAGGTTTCTGAGCCTCTTCTCATTTTTTTGGATTCTTGTTTCTTCATTCTGTTCTGGTTGAATGTTTATTTATTCATTTTCTTCCAAATCATTAATTTGAGTCCCAGTTTCCTTCCTTTCACTGTTGGGTCCATGTATATTTTTCTTTATTTCACTTTGTATAGCCTTCACTTCTTCCTCTAATTTGCAGTCCTACTTGACTATTTCTGTGAGCATCCTGATTACCAGTGTTTTGAACTCTGCATCTGATAGGTGGATATCTTCTCATCACTTAGTTCTTTTAGTGGAGTTTTGACTTGTTCTTTCATTTGGGCCATATTTCTTTGTCTTGGCACACCTGTTAGGTTGTAAGGGATGGAGCCTAGGTATTCTCCAGGGTGGGGCAACTTCCTTCACTGGGTTTTGGTGCTGTATATGGGGGATGGGTCAAAGAGGGAACAGTGCCTCTTGCAGGGCTCTCTGCTGGTTTTCAGTCACTTCTCTTGCTTCCCATCAATGGATTGTGTCTTTTCAGGTGCTGATTCCTGGGTGGGTGGGCTTGTGTACATTCTAGGGTCCTCTGGTCCCGTCCAATGGACTCTCCTGTGAGACTGGGGGTTTCTCCCACTGCTGCAGCCCCCACAGATTTTTATAGACAGAGGTTTTGTGGCTTTAGTTTCCCATGCTGGAACCCTGGGTTGTGCAGTCTGTCTCACTCCCCAGTTGTTTCTCCTGGCTTATCCACATACAAATGGGATATCCTGATCCGCCAGCTGTCTCTTTGCCCTCCCAGTTTGTTAGCCACTGCCTTGTCTTGCGTCCCCACTACCCTGGCTTCCTGTCTCTGCCCCCCCCCCACTAGTCTGGATGAATGTTTCTTTTTTAACTCCTTGGTCGTTGGACTTTCATACAGTTTGATTTTCTGGCAGTTCTGATTGCTTTTTGTTTTTAAATTGGTTGTTACCCTTCTTTTGGTTGTGTGAGAAAGCGAACTTTTGGTTGTGTGAGAAAGCGAAGTGTATCTGTTTACACCTCCATCTTGGCTGGAAGCCTGGACTGGATATATCTCACAATAAGGCAAATTCTTTTTTTTTTGGGGGGGGGGCAAAAATCTTGAAGCAAAAAAATTGTTTGACTCCTAACTATGAAAAATCAATGTTGAAATCAATGTCACTTAGCTGTAGCTACATTTAATTCTCATATTCTAGAGTAATATAGTGAGTTAATAACTGAGTTTTAAAGCTGAACAGCTTCAAAATAGAAAGTTAGGAGGAGAGATCAGATCTAAATAGGATGAAAGAAGGTATTACTGATGTTAAATGGAATAGGAATTTTATATTGTTTTTATAGCAGCAGTTCTCAAGAGTGGTCCTCCGACTCTGGTGTCCTGCTGAGATTTTTAGGGTTTTATAACAGCAAGACTATTTTCGTAATAACTTTATTTGCCTTTTTCACTGTTTTCATGTTTGCACCATGGTGTGAAGCAAAGGTGAGTCAAACTCTTGGTGCCATGGCACGAATCAGGACAGAGCCGCCAGGCTGTGCTGCTGTCATCATATTCTTACCTCAGTGCACTCAACAAAAAAAAGAGGAAAAGCTGGTTTTGTTAAAAAATGTGCTTCATGAAGCAGTACAAATCACTTTCATTAAGTCCTGACTATAAGCACGTGTCTTTTTAATATTCTGTGTGATGAAAAGAGAAATATGCATAGAGCACTTTCACTGCATCCTGAGGTGTACAGATTGTGCTGAGGAAAGGCATTTGTATGATGGATTGAATTGAGAGCTGAACCAGTTATTGTTGAAATACATTTTTATTTAAACTAACACCAATGAAGTTACTAGATTTGAGTATTTGGCAATATTCTATTGAAAATGAATGAAGTGAGCCTGTCACTTCAAGGGAAACAAGTGACAGTGTCTGTTGACAATGATAAAACTGAGTTTTCAAGTGAAAATTAGGATTTTGGAAGACGTACACATCTACCAGCAGGAGCCGACAGCTTCCCAGTACTTACAGGCTTGTCTGATGAGATCACTGGTAACATTCACAAATGTGGTTTTTCTGATATTGTATAATGAAATGAACACAATTCATTACTGTATATGACATTTGGAAATCTGCATATCTCAAAGAACTAATATTTTCCAAGTGACGGTCCATAATGTCACAAAATTATATGAGTAAAAAGATCCATTCAAAGCACAAAATGGACTTTTAGCCAAGATGGAATGACAGGGATGGCGGCCATATTTTTTTAAATTATATTTTATTAGTTATGCTATTACAGTTGTCCTGATTTTCTGCCTTTGCTCCCCTCTATCCAGCACTCCCATTCTCTTAGGCAATCACCCCATCATTGTTCATCTCCCTTGGTCATGCATATAAATTCTTTGGCTACTCCATTTCTTATACCATACTTTACATCCCCATGGCTATTCTGTAATACCTGTTTGTACTTCTTTATCCCCTCACCAGTTCACCCACCCCCCCACAACCCCTTCCATGTAGCAAACATCAGAATGTTCTCCATTCTGTTCTCTGTTCTGTTTGCTTAATTTGTTTTTTTAGATTCAGTTGTTGATATATACGTGTTTTTACCACTTTATTGTTCATAGTTTGATCTTCTTTTTCTTAAATGAATCCCTTTAACATTTCATGTAATAATGGTTTGGTGATGATGAACTCCTTTAGTTTTTTCTTGTCTGAGAAGCTCTTTATCTGCCCTTTGATCTAAATGATAGCTTTGCTGGGTAGAACAGTCTTGGCTGTAGGTCCCTGCTTTTCATGACTTTGAATATGTCCTGCCAGTCCTTTCTAGCCTGCAGTTACTCTTGAGAAATCAGCTGACAGTCTTATGGGAACTCCCCTGTAGGTAACTAACTGCTTTTCTCTTGCTGCTTTTAAGATTCTCTCTTTAACTTTTGGCATTTTAATTATGATGTGTCTTGGATTGGCCCTTTTGTGTCCGTCTTTTTTGGGATTCTCTTTGTTTCCTGGACTTGCACATCTATTTCCTTCACCAAATTAGGGAAGTTTTCTTTCACTATCTTTCTTTCAAACAGATTTCCAATTTCTTGCTCTTTCTCTTCTTCTGACACCCCTGTGATTCTAATGTTGGACCCACTGAAGTTGTCCCAGAGACTGCTTATACAGTCCTCACTTTTTAAAAATTCTTCTTGTTGTTCTGATTGGTTGTTTTTTTCTTTCTTATGTTTCAAATCATTGAATGTTGGCCTCATCCCCTGTACTGTTGTTGACTTGTAAATTTTTCTTTATTTCAATTAGTGTATCCTTTGTTTCTGACTGGATCTTTTTTATGCTGTTGAGGTCCTCATTAAGTTCCTTGAGCATCCTTATAACCTTTGTTTTGAACTCTGAGTATGATAGATTGCTTATCTCCATTTCATTTGGCTCTTTTTCTGGAGTTTTGATCTGTTCTTTCATTTGGGCCATGTTTCTCTGTCTCTTAGTTTTGTCAGCCTCCCTGTGTTTGTTTCAGTGTATTAGGTAGAGCTGTTTGACTCTGTGCCTCGGTAATGTGGCCTAATGTAGTAGGTGTCCCTGCAGTGTGTGGTGGCACAGCCTCCACTATCACCCAAGCTAGGTACTTGAGGTGTACCCTTCATGTGGGCCGAGTATACTCTCCTTAGAGTTGAGCTTTGTTGCTGTTGGCACATCAATGGGAGGGATATACAGTCAGCTACAAGAATTGGCAGTGACCACTTACCAACAACCTCTGCCCTCCATGCAGGATCACTTGTACAGGGGCAGGGTTGAGGTGCTCTGACATGGTCTGTACCTGTCCATGGGGTGTGCAGGCTCTGAGGTTTCCCAGATGGTGCAGATCAAGGTCAGCCCCCCACCTGTGTTTTGCCTGGAGCCACCGTGCCTGAGCGATAAAGCAATCTGAGAAGGCTGATACTTGTGCTGGTATTGGAGATTCCCAGGCAAAGCCAAATTGTGAATTTAGGCTGATTGCTGCTAGGGCCGGGAATGGAGCTCCTTAGCAAGAGGTATGGGGGCTGAGGACTAAATGAGGCCGACTGTTGATTGTTTGAGAGGATTTGGGAAGTTGTAAAGCATGAGCCAAGACCAGCCATGGTTGGAGAAGCAGCTTGGGTGGGCCTGTAAATTGGGTGGGATCGAGTCTTTGGGGATCTCCCAGGTGGGGCAAACAGTGTTAGCCAGATTGATTGAGTCTCAGATATGGCACCAGCCTTCTGGCTCTGTAGTTCTTTGGGGAAGGGTTCAGAAAAGGGTCAGTGGCCTTTGCCCGCCTATCTGTCTGAGCGAAAGCTGTCACTCAGTTCTCCCCTTGATGCCAGATGCTTCACTTTCTCCCTGTATGTCATTGGTGATTGCTTAAGTCCATGTGTGGATTCTTTAAGAGGAATTGCTTGGATTCCTATGGTTTCTTCCACCAGCTCACTCCCTGCTAGTTTTTGCAGCCAGAAGTTATGGGACTTATCTTTCTAGCCCTGCTACACTGGGCTTGGGGGGCCTGATATGGTGCTACAACTCCTTGCTCCCAAATTTTTAGCTACCACAGGTGGGTGTGGGACCAGTCCATTCTGCATCTCTGCCCTTTCTACCAGTTAGATGGATGTGGTTTCTTTAATTTCATAGTTGTCAGACTTCTATTCAACTCAATTTCTGATGGTTGTTCTATATTTTAGTTGTAATTTTGATGTGGTTGTGCAAGGAGGTGAGCTGTGGTAACCGGTGTCACCATCTTGACTGGAAGTCCCCCTGTTCCCAGACTTGGATATAACAGTGTTCTTAGGCTACTCAAGGCCCACCCAGTTCAGTAGTGGTTGTAAGACAGACACATACCACTCTACCGGAAGTAGCATAGCCACAGTTGCTTTGAGGTTTATATTTTCTTGCTTCTGTCTCTTTAACCACAGATATTAACATTGGGTCCAATTCCTCAATCTCTTACCAGATGTTCTCTAAACCTACTGCCATGTTTGTCTTGCAGTGTCCTGGTGATGACATGGCATCTGCCAGCTCCAGCCGGGCGGGAGTGGCCCTGCCTTTTGAGAAGTCTCAGCTTGCTTTGAAAGGTAAGTGGCACTGTGTGAAGTGTTAGTCATTTTGAAGTCCAGCCCACATTATGGGGAAGAGGTGGAGTTATACCACATCTTGGTCTAGAGAGCCAAATTCTGTGAAATAGCTTAAGATTGTAACTGTTCATTCTCTTAGGGTTCTTGTCTTGTAGCTGGAATTAGTGAAGAAGAGAAAAAGGAACTGTTGGCAAAAATGATCTAAAATGGTGATTCTTTCATGCCCCAGGCCTCTTTTCTGTCTATACTCATTCCCTCAGTGATTTCATCCAACCCATTGGCTTTAAGTGCCACCATTATGAAACCACTGCCTAATTTATAGCTCTAGTCTGACTTCCTCTGAACTCCAATGGCCCACTTGTTCATCTCCATTAGACTATTTAGTAAACATCTAAAATGTGACCTGTCTGGAACTGAGCTCTGAGTTTTTCTCACATATCCTGTATTCAGTCAGTCAGTGTTTCTGGCTGTGTCTATCTTCAGAATGTGTCCAGCGTTCAGCCACTTCTCACCGTCCCCACCATCCCACAGGCTGCCATCATCTCAACCCTGGACTAAGGCAATAGCCTTCCTGTGCCTGCCTTTTGCCCGCTTTCATTCTGTTGGTCACTGAGCAGCCATTGATTTTGTGAAAATGTAAGCTACCTATTGTCAGTCTTCTTCTCAAATATACCAGCGGCTTTCCGTCTTACTCAGAGTAAAAGCTGAAGACCCCACATGATGTGATCCCCTAGTTTCTTTCTTTTTTTTTTTTAAGACTTTATTTATTTATCTTTAGAAGGAAAGGGAAGGAGAGAGGGAGAGAAACATCAATGTATGGTTGCCTTTCCTGCGTCCCCTGCTGGGAACTGGCCTGCAGGGAACTGGCCTGCAACCCAGGAATGTGCCCTGACCGGGAATTGAACCGCGATTGTCTGGTTCACAGGCCCGTGCTCAATCCACTGAGCTACACCAGCCAGGGCGATCCCCTAGTTTCTTACTCACTCTTCCACATTTACTCAGCTGTAGCCACATGGCGTCTTTGATATTCCTTGACTATGCCAGGCACATTCCTACCTCTGGGCCTTTGCACTTGCTGTTCCCGCTGAATGAAATGCAGGAACTCAGGTATCTACCTCCTTTGCTTCCTTACTTTCTTTAGATCTTTACTCAAAATTCATCCTCTTCAACCAGGTCTTCCTGATCTCCCCAGCTAAAAGCCTCCCCCACCCCAACTTTCTCACTTCTTCCCCCTTCCCTACTTTGTATTTTTCTTCTCAGCTCTTGTCACTATCACAATACCTATTTCTATGTACTTTATTTATTGACGGTCTCCTTCAATAGAATATAAGCACCATGGTAATAGGACTTTTTGTCTGTTTTGTTTACTTTTGACATCCCAGTGACCAGAACTGTGATTGAGGGCCTACATAGTAGGCCCTCAGTAAAAATTGCTCAGATGAAAGAATATTGCTTCAGAAGCCTTGGAGAGTCATGGACTGAGAGATGCCCTGGGGTGGGGGAACAGCACTCAGTATCTGAGCTCAGACTTCACAGCATGGTCATCTCGAGGCAAGCTTGTGTCTCATTATTATTTTTGAAATGTAAATGTTATTAATTTATTTAATATACTTGCAGACTTTAACGTTATTTCTTTCCTTAGCCTCCAGTGCTCCAGCTTGGAGGAAACTAGTATTATCAGTTTCTTGTGTGTCCCTTCCAGGAAACATCAGAGGAGATGTATTTTTAGAATTTCAAGAGCCAGGGTGCCTTCCTTAGAAGGAATACTCTTTGAGCAGTGTATGAGAGCACCCGTTTTCCACCTTTTTACCAACACAGTACATTGTCAGACTTTTTCCTTTGTCAGTCTGATAGGTAAAAAGTTGTTTTCCTCAGCATAGTTTTATTTTGCATTTATTTAATTATAGTACTGTTTAGCATCTTATCATACATTTAAGGGAAATACATATTTTCTTTTTCGGTGGATTGCCTATTCATATACTTTACCTCTTTCTTATTGAGTTATTTTTTAATTATTAAAAAACATTTTATTATTTTTAAATTATTATTTACACATTTTAATTATTATTATTTTTGGTGTGTCATTGCTGTGCTGCTCCAGCATTTTGAGGAAGAAGAGGATTAGAATGAACTGGTAGGGTTTGGAATTTGGGACTGCATCCTTTACTACCTTACCTAATAATTAGAAAACCTAGGTTAAAACAGAAGCCTGTCTATGGGACCTGGTGACGTCCCGAGGTCCCGACTTAGGGTTCATATTATTTAGGAACATCCACTGACTTCTAACAGATTTCCCTGTTGCCTTCCTTCAGTGTGAAGTAGCATCAGGGAAAGAGCTAACTTGATAATATAGGTGCTTCTCATTATACGCATTTAATCTATAGGGATTTGATACTGCCATCCAGTAAAGCGGTGGGGGAGAAAGAGAAAGAAATGTAATAATTCGAGTGGTGTGGGTAGTTCTCCCATGCGTTTCCCTGGCAGAGTCTGTAGTGCAGTTTGGGAGATGTTGCTAGGCCGTTTCCTCTCTTTGCCTCTGTACCTTTGTGTCTCTTCATAGTATAATCCTAGAGATTCGAGATGTACTTTTTAATTCTATCAGGCCCTTGAACATTTTGTCTTATATTTAACTTAAGAAACACAAGGCACTGCAAAGCAAAAAACTGTTTGAAACCTATTGAAAGATAATATGCCAGGTTCTATTCTGGTCCCTTTCTAAGAGCTTTACAAAGGGTATAATTTTGGCTGTATGTGATTTTTGCCTTATTTGTTGATATTAAAAGCTACATCCTATGTGAAAATGTGACTCCATGTACTTTGTCAAACAGTAAATGAACTTTCTAGATAAACTTGCTTTTATCTTGATGACTTTATTTTGGCTTGCCTTTAAAAAAAAGAAACCCTCAATATATCACTCTGCTGATTAACCATAAATTAGAGGGAAATGTTTCTTTACAGTGGAGACACCTGGAAGACCCCACATTAACCAAGGGATTAAATTTAGCATCCCCAACAGGGCAGGCTAGTGTGTGCAAAGTATACAACGTACCCTATGTGATAATCCTGGCAAAAACATTCAGTGTGAATCTGATCATGAGAAAGACAGGCATGTGCAGAATTTGGCATATTTCTAGATGACAGCTGGTAGAAGTCTTTAAAAATCACTGTTATTGGGAAAAGCAGGGAGAGCATTCTACATTTTCAAAGGTTGAGGAGACAACAACCAAATGCATTGTGCTCATCTTGATTGGATCCTAGATTGAAGACATTTGGATATGGAATGAATATTGGAATTGATAGAATAATTGATTTTTTTTTTTTTTAGGCATAGTGATGGTGTGCTTAGGTGGGAGAATGTCTTTCTTCTTAGGAGTTACATTCCAAAAGTATTTGGGGCTGATCTCTTATGAGTCTGCAATTTACTTTCAAAAGATTTTACAGGAAAAAAGTGTGTGGACATAGACACACACACACACACAAATCTAAACACAAAATATGTATTTTTATCTTGTGCATTCCAACAGGGTAGCCATATAGCCCCATAGAACTATTTACATTATAAATAAATTAATTAAGTTTATAATTCAAATCCTCAGTTGCACTAGGCGTATTTCAAGCACTCAGTTGGCACATGAGTCATTGGGCAGTGCATTGGACAGCACTGGTGTGGGCCGTTTCCATCATCACGGAAGTGCTCTTGAATAAGTGCTGTATGTCAAATTGGTTTAACATAGAGGGGGAAAAGCAAACATGGCAAAATGGTAACAACTGGTGAAGAGTAGGCAACTATTTATTCTGTTCTTTCAACTTTTCTATAGATTGGGAACTTCAAAATAAGACTACTAACTGCATCCTGTGATCCTAGATTGGACCAAAAAAAATTCTCTTTTCTCTTTTTCTATAATGAACTTTGACGGGACAATTGACAAAGTTTGAATAAGGTCTGTGCATTAGATAACAGTGTTAAAGAATACAAAATTTCCCACTGTTGACATTTATACTACAGTTATGTTAGAAAATGTCTTTATTCTTAGGAATATACACCAAACTATTTAGAGGTAAAGGGACACAGCACTCCCAAAGGGACAACTCACTCCCAAAGTTTTCGGAAAAAAAATGTGTATGTGTGTGAGTGACAGGGGAGAAAAACAATAATAAAGCAAATATAGTAAAAAAAATTGGTGTGTGGAAAGTTTATAGGAATTCTTTATATTATTTTTGAAACTTTTTAAAAAACTTTGCCGAAATTATGTAAAAATTAAAAAAAGGAAAACATAGGAAAAAAGATAGGGGGAAAGCTAGAGGACAAGAAAGGAAGCATCATGGCAGCGTTCAAAGAACTGGGCTGGAACCTGGGAGACTCGACTTTGGGCTTAGCTCTGGCTCCAACGAGTTCTAGGATTTTGTCATTTTACCTCCCTGGATCTTAGTTGGCCAAATTATTAAATAAAGGGTTTGAACTTGTTGATTTCAAAGAAACTGTCTAGATCAAAATTATTAAGACTCATTATCATCAATCCGCTCCCTGTCCCCCCCCTTTTTTTAAGAGCTTGCATGCAGAGCTACTATTGCACCACAAGGTGGCCTCAGTTAACCTTGATCCATCTGGACAGTGTTTTTTCTACTCTGGGCCACGTTTCCTATACCCGACCTTTTTTTTTTCTGGTACCATCCTTGTTCCTGAATCCTAGCCACAACTTTCTTTTTTGCTCTTTGAATCTTTCTCCACTCTTCTTTTGGGCCTGGAGAAGAAAGCTATTGCTAAAAACATTCCAGAGGTGGGTTGGTTGTTTGCCAGATTGTGGACCCTTATAGGACTGTCACCTCTCAAAAGGTCTGGGAGGGTGAGGTTTGCCAACTCTTGACATGGGGGAACTTAGGCTAGGATAGTCCTGTTATCACGGGTAAGGAATGTCAGTAATATGTTCTGACTTGGGGCATTGGATTGAAGCCACTGAGATGTCTTCATCCCAACGACCTGGCTGACATGTGCTCGAAGAGCAGCTTGTCTAGCCTCCTGCAAGTGTTTGCTGAGCTTGCGCTGCGTCCCTGGCTCACTGGTGCCAAGTGAACATCAGAAACGTTGCCACATGAAGAGGAGATGCAGATGGTTAACAAACACATGGAAAAACATTCAGTCTCACTAGTAATTTAAGAAAAGCATTAGAACAAATAAGCAAAGTCTGGTACTGGCATACAGCGTGGTGTAGTCAGACTGCCCAGTGGCACATCCTGGCCCAAAGCTCCTGGCTGTGTGGCTTGGGGCAGGAACCTGGCTTCCTCGAGCTTGTTTCCTCCTGGATGAAATGTGGGTGACGATACCTTCCCTGCCTCAGGGGTTCATTGTGAGGGTTTAGTTAGATAATGTGTGCTTAGCATAATATCTGTAAAAAAGGTATTCATTAAATTGTAGCTATTATCTTTATACCAATTTTTTTAACCTACATCATATTTACAAAGAATGAAAAAACAGTGGATTCAGTGTTATGCAGTGTTGGGTGAAATGGAGATATTCTTATAGTGTTCACGGGCATTTACATAGATTTACCCTTTTTGGGAAGGAAATTAAGCAGTTTAAAAATTTTTTAAAAATGTCCATATTCTTTGGAAGAATACTCAAAATGTAAGCAAATACTGTATATACATTTGTGGTAATTTTCCCAGAGCAAAACATTGGAAGCAATCTATTCATCAGCGAAAGAACAGTTAACTAAATTATGGCATATATTTTAAAAATATTTTATTTATTTATTTTTAGAGAGAGGGGAAGGGAGGGAGGAAGAGAAACATCAATGTGTGTTTGCCTCTTATATGGCCCTCCCTGGGGACCTGGCCCACAACCCAGTCATGTGCCCGGACTAGGAATCAAACTGGTGTCCCTTTGGTTCTAGTCTGCGCTCAATCTACTGAGCTACACCAGCAAGGGCAAATTATGGCATATTCGTATAATGGGTTTATAGTACAACCTTTTACAATGTATTTTGGGAGAAGAGTTTTTAAAGAGTTGGAGATGTAAAAGATGAAAGTCTAAAACTCTGGATTTACCAATGTCTTGTTTTTAGGTAGGAGTGATTTTTATTTCTTATACTTCATATTTTTAATGCCCTCACATTTTTAAAAATAAGTTTTCTTAGAATCAGGAAAAAACCAAAATTTGTTTTTTAAAAGAAACAGCTAAAAAGAGTGAGACCATCTGCCACAGGGGGGCAGCTGGGAGCCCTCTGCCTCATCTTTCACTTCTTTCTTTCCCATCCAGTGGTGTCAGCAAAGCCCAAGGTGCACAATCGCCAACATCGAATTAACTCATTTGTGGAAGTGGCAGTGGATGGACTCCCCAGTGAGACCAAGAAGACTGGGAAGCGAATTGGGAGCTCCGAGCTTCTCTGGAATGAGATCATCATTTTGTAAGAGAGAATCCCTTCTCTTCGAATGCAGTAACATGAGGGAAAGAAAGAAGGCGCTCCAAGGGGGTTGTGGGAGATCCAGGTGTGCTGTGGAGCCTTTAACTCTTCTGCCTTTGGTACCTGAGGTGCTGCCTCTCTTTAAGTGTTTCCACATGATTGAGCTCATAGTGTTCATTATTAGCTAGATGGTTACAAGGTCAGCTTTGAGGATGGGGGAAGGGGTCATGTGAGCATCTTCCTATTTGGGGTTTTCTTTGCCCCTTCCAGTTGTCAGCAACATCTGTTTTCTTCTAAGCGATAAGAGTAACTGATTTGCTTGGATGTGATGAGTCAAGTATTTTTTTTCCAGGAATGTCACGGCCCAGAGTCATTTAGATTTGAAGGTCTGGAGCTGCCATACCTTAAGAAATGAGCTGCTAGGCACCGCCTCTGTCAACCTCTCCAATGTCCTGAAGAACAATGGGGGCAAAAGTACGTATGAGGAAGGGGTGGCTGATGTGGTTCATTTGTGTGGGTGGGGAGAATAATTCGGAGGCATGGATTTCTCTCAGCAGGGCCAGTGACCCCATTTTTTCCTCCAGGACGGGGGCGCTGCAGTGACTCTGCTCCCCTTGGATGCTGTCTGGAGTTTTAGGAAGGCTGAACACATCTTCCTGCTGAATTCAGCCCCCTTTCCCAGGGGCTATTAGTGGTGGGGTACAGGGATATGTCCTCTTGATCTTTCATGAGGTCATTGCTTTTCCTCTGCCTCTGGCCCTCTTTTTCTGGTCCAGGAGAGATGGGACTTGTAGAATCAAACTGTCAAATGCCTCCAGCCAACACCATTACTTCCCTAGTCTGGGTCCTGGAACAGAACAAAAGGAACTGTGTGCATGCATGTGTGTGTACGTGTGGGATGGTGTTACAAATACTGCCCTGTGCTTAGTAGGCACTCAATAAACATTTATTGGATGTTAGAATGTGATGGAAGCTCTATCATAATTATTCAGGTACCTCTGCTGCATGGAATTCTGAACCCTAACATCTATTTATTGTTGTTTGTGGTCAGCGGCATAACCGTGGCTGTGGTATCTGAACCCTCTCTCATAAAAGCCTCTATTCATAGCAGTTCCATATGTGGCGAGGGAATGCCACAGAAAGAAAGGCTCCTTTTTCTCTTGAAGGCTGCTGTCTAGAAAATATTTTCAGAAAGTGGATGTAGCTGAAGAGAGGTGTGGGGGCGGGGTGTGTCGAGTCCCAGGGAGAATGCTGCATTGATTTGAGTCCTTTCTTTCTGAGGCCTTGTCCTTTCTGCTGGGCACCTAGAGATGTGGTGAACCCACCCTGGCTGTGGGAATGGCTTAAAACTAGGCTTATATCTCTATTTTAGTTCTGCAGGGAACTCCCTGATGCTCAGTCTTCCGAGTTGGTCTCTATTTTTCCAAACTTTAGGCTCCCTTTTGTGACTTGATTCTTGAAGTTGGATTACATTTTTTATGTCATTTGGAAACTTGTGCATGTTTTTGAATTCAGGGCAGCAGCCCGCTGATTCAGGTCAGCTCACAGGATGAGTGTGCTTTTCTTTTCTTCTTTATTTCTCCAATCAGCATACCTTTTCTGTTGGTTATAAAAGTAATTGTAGAAAACCTAGGAATTACAGAAAAGTACCCAGACACACAAAGAAAATAAAATTTTTCTGTAAGCACAGCACCTAGTGATAACTATTAACATTTTGATATGTACCCTTTTTCTTGTGTACAAATGTATATTGATACTTAAGGCGTCAGTGAAACAAGATTGAGATCGGAGACAAACAGTATTTTGCAACATGCCTTTTTCTATTGAAAATGTATCAAGTATCTTTATTTTTAATTACAAAGTATACATAACGTCAAATGTATCATCTTAACCATTTTTAAGGGCACAGTTTAGTGGCATGAAGTACATTTACATTACGTGCAGCTTTTGCTGCCGTCCATCTCCAGAGCTTTTTATTTCCCAAATTCAAATTCTGTACCCATTAAACACTAACTCCCCTTCCCCTCCCTTTTCTCAGTCCCCTATTATTCTGCTTTCTGTCTCTATGACTGACTACTCTAGGTATCTCGTGTAAGTGGAGTCATACAGTATTTGCCTTTTTGTGACATGCTCATTTCACTTAGCATAATGTCCTCAAGGCTCATTCATGTTGTAGCAGGTATCGGAATCTCCTTTTTAAAGGCTGAATAACGTTCCATGGTTTAAACATACACGTTTGGTTTGTTCATCCATCCAAAGACGCTTGGGTTGCTTCCACCCTTTGCCTATTGTACATAGTGCTGTTTTGAATGTGGGTGTATAAATATCTCTGTAACTTCCTGCTGTCAATGCTTTTGGATACATACCCAGAAACAGAATTACTGGTTCATGGGCTATTTCTATTATCAGTTTTTTGAAGAACCACCTGCTGCACCATAAAAATATATCAATATAGCTTTAATTTTTCTTCTAAAAATTCAGTTTTTGATGACTGCCTGGTAGTAGTCTATCAGATGGCTATGTGAAAAAATGAATATTTGGATAGATTTCGGTATTTCGCAAGCACAAAAAATACTATGATAGACTTGAAAGTTTTAAAGTCTTTGTTGCCCATTGTTTAAAATTTACTTGAGGTAAATTATTGAACACCGACTTGCTGGGTTTAAACATTTTTCGAGGTTTGTAATACAGTACATACTGTCAGATTACCCTCCAGAAAAGTTCTACCAATTTACCTTCCCAATGGCAATGGCTGAGATTGTTGGTTTCTGTTGCACCTTGGCATTTGTTGGATTTATCTGTAAGAAAAAATTATTATTTTTTACCTCTTTGATAATTAACATTATTCCAGAGCAGGTTCATTTCTATCTTTTTGGCTGTAGTATTTTAAAGTAAATTAGAGACGTATTGGCATTTTATCCTAGATTCTTCAGCATACATCTCTTAAAAATAGGATGTTTTCTTATATAACTACCATACCAGCATCACACCTATCTTATTGACATGATTGCCTTATTACCCGCTACCCAGTTTATGTTCAGTTCTATGAATTATCTCAAAGTGTTGTTTTAAAGTTGGTTTGCGTGAATCTGGGTTTGGGCTGGGTCCTCTCATTCCATTTGGTGGTTATTTCTGTGACGTGTTCCCACCTCCACCCCACCAAAGCTGTGTTTTAAAGTGTGTTTGTGGCCTGGTCCTTTGTTCATCCTTATATCGAAGTGTGCGGTTTTCACTTTTAGTGTTAAAAGAGCTCTTTATATGTTAAGGCTATTATTTTTTGTCTTATAATTTGTAAACATTTTTCCAGTTTTTAATTTACATTTTAATTTTGTAGATTTTCTTTTTTCAAATAGATATTTTAACCTTTGTATTTTCATCCTCCTCTTTTAGGCTTTGAAAGGCTTTACTCATTCTGAGATCAGGTAGTCATCTCTATTTTTTCTAATTCATTGTGATTTTACTTTTTAACATTTTATTTTCTATCCAGATGAATTTATTGTTATGCACAGTGTAAGTGGGGAATCCATTTACGTTTTCCCAAATAGTTAACCAATTGCTTTAACACTGCTTATTGAATAATCTATCTATTTCTTCCTAGTGATTTGATTTGCTACCTTCGGCATATATTAAAAACATGTATACTTGGGCCTATGTAAGGACTTTCCATTTTATTTGTTGTTTTAACATCACTCTGTCTTAGCTATTGTGGCATTATATTTTAATACCTGACAGTTCACGTCTCTCTGACTTTCAAAATCTTCCTCTTTCTTTGCACATGTGACATTATCACATGATGCAAATTATTTTGTCAGGTTGTCCCCTCTTTCTACTTTCCTTCCCTCAAATCCCTTGAGATTTTACTGGAATCCTACCATTTGTAAAGCTCCTTTCTGGAGAATTTCCATTCTGACTCTTTCTACCCAGGAATATGGGATGTGCCTAAATTCATTCAATTCATTTTGAAGTTATCTTTAGATAAACTTTTTAAATTTAAAAGTTAATTTTGCCATTATTTTTAATGGTATCTTTTCCTGTGGTGTTGTCCAACCTAGTGTTGCTAGTATATGACTATTCGTTTCTGCATTTTCTTTTATATTCTGTCAGTTGCTGAGTTCTTAGTATAGGTTTAGTTTCTTTTGGCTTTTCTTTGTAGGCATTTATGTGGTTTCTAAGACTGATAATTTTGCTCACTTATACTTCTTTTTCTTGTTAGTTGCTTTGTGTACACTTCCCTGTGTTAGTGGTTCTGGAGCGGGTATCCTGTCCCTGTCTAATAACCATGCTCCTAGTGACTCTGCTTGCATAAGGTTGGGTGTTAGTAACCTATCTTCTTAGTTTATTCATCCTTTTTTTTTTTTTTAAGTCAGGAAAGGGGTTGAATTTTTAGCAAATACCTTTTAACCAACCATTGGGATAATTATATGATTTTTTTCTGCCTTCAATTTATTACATTAATTTCCTAATAGTAACAATCTTAGAATTTTTAGAATATACTTAATTGCTTATGCTAGAGTATTTCTTGAAAGTTTTGTTAGAATTGCTTGTTAATATTTTATTTGGGGGGTTTCCATCTATACTCACAAGTTACATTTGTCTGTAGTTTTGTACTATTTTTGTCAGGTTTGGAATTGAGGTTAAGCTAATTTTATACACTCAGTTGCAGTGCTTTCCAGCCTTGGGAACAGACTGTATAACATGGGAATTATCTGCTCCATGAGCACAGGAAAGAGCTCACCCATGAAACCGACTGGGTCTGGCAGATTTCTTTGAAAGAATTCTTTGATGGCTTTTCCAGTATTATGCCCCATAATGACTGGTTTGTTCAACTTTTCTGATTCATCTTGCATCAGTGTTGTTAATTTAAATATTCTGAGAAAATTGTTACACGAGAGTCTCAAATTTATTAGTATAAAGATATTAAATAGCATTCTCATTTAAAAAATGTTTCTTGTTTTTCCACTTAAAATTTTTGGTATTTGTTTTTTTTTCCCATTTTTTTCTTGCCTACCATAAACATTTTATTTTGGTTTTTAATTAATATTTTACAGGACAATGTCTTGGATTTATTTGTCAACTATACCATATTTTCTAAGGATAATTTCCATTTTTGACTTTATTAATGTTTTTCAACTACTTGCCCTTAGATCTGTTATATATATTTGTTTAATCAGTCAGTAAGTCATTTATAGCTTTTGAGTTGAAAGCCTAGTGCATTTATTTTTGTTCTTGTTTAATAATGCAAACTTTTTTTTTAGAGTATAAAGTGAAAATGTGTTTGTTAGTGAAGGTGTGAGACAGAGAGGGGCTTTTCCACAGGCAGAGCAGCCCCCCTGTAGCAGAATTTGCTCTCTTTATTGAGATTTATTTAATAGGGGATGGAAGCATATTCAATAAGGGGGAAAAATATTCAGATTCTTCCGGGAAAAAGAGTCGGGACTTCTTAGAGGAGCTCCATCAGCCATGTTGTGTCCTTA